AAAAACTACATGCAGACTTAGTAGCTACTTATATGAAAGTATAAACTCACACGGACTATATCTCATGGAACTCCCAGAGCACATGGGCGGTAAATGGTCTTTGAGTCTCAATGACTTGACTTGAGCAGCTGGGCTGCGGCTGAGCATCTCTCTGTGTTTGCGCGTCCGTCACCTTGCCACGTGTCTTGCTTAGGCTTCCTCACAGCCTGGTCCGTCACACTTCTTCTGTGGTTCTACCACAGGATGCAAGCTGGCAACCCTCCTTCAGGCTAGAGCTAGCATCCGTCTGGTGTCATTTCCGTTACTCCGTTAGATGCCGTGGTCACAGGCTAGTCCTGATCACAGGAGGAGGAAATATGCTCCCCTCTCCATGGATATAGGTCATTTGTCATTTCACAGCCCGTTTGGCGGAAGCCCCTGAAAAATTCATTTCACTAATAATGGCCAACACAGAAGATCTGAGACCTAAAATACAGGAGCCTAGCATAGACGGAAGCAAAGTGAACCCACAAAATTCAGCGTGAAGCGAGGTGCAGGCAGACAACCGAACTGCTCTGAAGAGCAGACAGCAACACGCAGAGATGTCCACAATGAAAACGTGACGTGAATGTGCTTGAATAATTTCTCTGAACATATTGAGAAGACATTAACACTGTGAGGGGAGGGTTTGATAGTAAGTTATTGATAAGCGTTGCGGGATATTTGATCATACAGTGAAACTCCAAAACTGTGTTAATAAAATTAACCTTGCATCAGGGGGTGGAGTCAGTGACTAGTTGACAGGAATTAGCCACAGAGAGGATGGAGGAGACAGGAATAGGGATAGAGAGGAGCCAGGAATAGGGATAGAGAAACGCACAAGAAGGAGTAGGGAGGGACTTAGAGATTCACGGTCTTTTGGGGATGGGTGGAGTGATGCTCTCTTTCTGGGTCTCTGACCAAAAAGGAAGTCAGCTGGTTGCTTCTTGGCTTCTCTGACCTAGCAGATTTTCATCCTCGCATCTGACTCCTGAGTCTTTATTGGTAAGTTGAACAATTTAGGTTAAAAACAACAGATAAGTAATTTAAAATGGAAAACAGTAATGTTTTTTAATCCAAAATTTCATACCTTGTGCTTCCTTAAAAATAGCAGGGAGGGTTGTGGTTGCATACACCTTCAATCCCAGCACTGGGGAGGCAGAAGCAGATGGATTTCTTTGAGTTCAAAGCCAGCTTAGTCTACACAGACTGTTCCAGGGCAGCCAGAATGGAGGAACAACCACCACACAGACTTTGAGGGTTTGAAGAGTCTCACCATCTCCAGTTCCCTCTCTGATTAGTGCTTGTGGTTCAAGATGTGAGCGTTCAGCTGACTTTCCAGCTGCTGTGCCTGCTACCCGCTGCCGTGCCTGCTACCCGCTGTCGTGCCCGCTACCCGCTGCTGTGCCCGCTACCCGCTGCCGTGTTTGCTACCCGCTGCCGTGTTTGCTACCCGCTGCCGTGCCTGCTACCCGCTGCCATCCCTGCTACCCGCTGTCATCCCTGCTACCCGCTGTCGTGCCCGCTACCCGCTGTGGTGCCCGCTACCCGCTGCCGTGCCTGCTACCCATTGCCGTATTATCCCCTCCATACTGGACTCATCTCTCTGGAACCTTAAGCCCCAATAAACTTTCTTATATAAGTTGCCTTGATCATGGCGTTTTGTCACAGCAGCATCAACAACAACAACAACAACAACAAAAGCAACTAATATACCAGGTGCATAGTTTAGGTTGTTCTTTAGTTTGATTGACAAGCTTGGATAACATAGGTCTTTGCTCATTGTGCATGTCTGTTCCTGTAATACTTCTAACTCTAATCATGTGCATGCCTAATTATACATAGGCATGAGATGGTAAACAGGAGATTCTCCTAAAAGTTCACTTAGAGGGCATAGCTTGCCTTATTTCCCATGCACTCAAAACCAGTTCAGGCTGTACTGACCCTCTTCCTTCCTATGCAGAAGTGTTAGGAGTATGTTTGAACGGAGGCTGTTCGCTTCTGGCAGTTGTTTAGAGGAAGAGGAACGGGCTGTTTTGTTAAGAAAGGGGTGTGCCTGCAGTTTACACTGGTTGGGGTCCTAAGTGTCTAACAGGTCGTTAGATGCATTTTTGGGGAAGATAGGTGCATAGATAGCACTTACAAGTAAGGGTCTCGGGCTTCCAAGTACATTAGAAGAAAGGCGTGTGCATAGACCAACCCAAGTAGAGTCCCGGGTTGCTAAACTATTCCCTATCCTTGCCTGCTCCATTAAGTATTAAAGGTTTGTGGGAAAGACATTTGACCCCATACCAAGGTAAGAGGGAGAAGTTCAGTGTGATATGGAGGATGGAGAGGCCTTGATAAACTGGCTTACCAGTGTTTTCCGCTGAAACTGGATTAGAGGCCAGGGATGAGCTAGCAAGAGAGCTGAACAAAACTGTCTAAAGTTTAGTCAAGGAAGAAGTCATTGTCAAATGAAATATGTAATGTGTATGTCATTTCGTTTTTTAAGGCGCTAAATATTATAGTGTTACTTATGGATTTTTACAAATGATTTCACATATACAAAGATAATGAATTGTGAGAAAACAAAATAAACAAAACAACAACAAAAGAAAGGACTATAAACTTAGCGGAATAAATGCACAAGAGCCTCTGATCAAAGACCTGTGGTGCTCCCACAACCCAACCATGGGATTGGTGCACCAAAGAGTGACTCTGTTTCCATTAGTTTTTCCTTGTCTCAGCTTTAGGTTCAGGAAGGCTGACTCATGCCTTTATCTCCTCCAATCATGGCTAGTCCTCTGTTGGCCTCTTTAACTCAACCATGACCAGTTCCTAAAAGCACTAAGAGGTAACTGATTGCCAGTCAGGTTGAAATTGGGTTGAATCATAAAAAGGTCTACAGGGAAAGCTAATAATGGCTTCTCTAAAGAATAAAGGGCTCTGGGGCTGGAGAGATGGCTCAGTGGTTAAGAGTACTGGCTGTTCTTCCAGAGGACCTAGGTTCAATTCCCAGCACCCACATGGCAGCTCACAACTGTCTGTAACTCTTGTCCCAGGGTATCCAACACATTCACACAAACATAGATGCAAGCAAAACACAATGTACATAAAATACAAATAAACTAATTAAATATAAAGGGCTCTATCCTTACACCCTATTATAGATCTATATCCATGCCTAGACCATTTATACCCATGTGCCAATCAATGAGTCTTATGCAACGGGTGCAAAGTAAGCATAAGAATTGTGTCTGGAGTTTGTGCAACTGAAGTGACAGTACTTTTTAAAGGTCACAGATTATTATGTGGAGGTTGAGTTGAGAGAGGCAAGTGTGGGAATAGGGAGACCAGCTAGCCAATCTCTTCAGAATTAATGAATAAAGCTACAAGTATAAGAAACAGTCAGGTTTGACATGGTTTTGCAGGGTGAACCTACTAGACATGCTGACAGATAGTGTCCCCTGGTTTTCCTGGGGAGGTAGAAGGAAACATGTATTCACCAGAAATAGAGAATTATTTGGAACTACTTAGAGAATAGGTGAGTCATGGGCAGCTGTACCACTGGAAAGTCCCACTCCTCATCAATTTCCTACTGCCTAATATTTAATGTCTTAAAATTACATACAGAAGGAAAGGGCTATACTTAGAATCTCAGAGGGAGAGATAGATTTGGGGGGGGGGAATCTTGTAAAAGTCTTAAGACATTCTCTTGTCCCTTCTAGAGAGAATGCTGACAGCTTGGTAAACCATTATCGTAGACCCACATATCTGTTCTATAGTTCTGTTTAATTGCCAGGTCACAGCCACTCCTACCCATTACATGGTCATGTCAAGCCTGAGGAAGCAACTACATTCCAGATGGACTTAATGGGTAAGAAAGGAAGGATCCGATGGAGACTGTAGGTTCTAGCTTGAATAACCAGGCAAATGCTGATACCCTTCATTGAAGTGGAAAAGAGAAGACAGATGTCGAAGAAAAGTCAAGATTTCTGGTGTGAATTTTTTTGTTAATCGAATTGCATGTTAGAAACAGGTTAGATATGTAATCTCTGAGTTTTGTGGAACTCATGAAACAACTGGAAATCATCATTCTATCTTGCAAAGGGACTGTTTGCACAGAATGAGACAGCGGACCTTAGCACAAGCCTGTGGAATGCTCAAAACTCCAGTAACTGAGCACAAAACAATATCCAGAAGAGGGACACAAAGGCCTTCAATGGTATGGAAGAAAAATTAAAGGAATGTGTTGTCAGGAACCAAAAGCTTCTGAAGAATGAAAGAATGGTTAACTCTACTCTGGTTGCTCCTCAAGACAAGGTCAAAAGGAATTCTGGCCGCAGCATCTAGCTAGCCGGGTAAAATGAGAAAGTGAAAGCTATAATAGAGAGGTTTTAGAAAGAATGAAAGGTAGGGGATTAGAGATAACAGGATATGAATACACAAATAAACAAGTGGCAGTACTAGAAAAATCAGGGTTTCTCTAGGAAAACAGGGTCTCTTGGTTTTGAGACATGTAGGTAGAAACTGAAATGAGAAAAATTCATAAAAGTCTAATAACTTAGATTCCAAAAGCCCATATAGAAAAAGGAAAACTTCTAAGCCTTTCTAAGTTCCCAAAAGGCAGCCTGACAGATAAGACTAAACAAAGAACTGGGTATGTGACACACCCCAGATAACATATCCCAACTGTGTCAACCTTTCTCTGTCCTAAAGAAGATCAGATAGCTATCAATTCGAGGTTGTAAAAGTCCCTGGCCTGGGAGATAATTAACAAACTTATTTCCTCTATAGCATCCTGCTTAATTGCATTCTGCCTGAAACACACAGTTTCTGTTTCACTCTATGTAATCATGAAAGCCTCGTAATCTGGAGACTTCCAGTCTTTTGAACTTTCCCTTTAACCGCCCCACCCCCACCCCAACTGAAAGCAGCATTCCGATTGTTCCCCAACAGACAGAATCCAGGCTGCAGCTTGAAATAAAAGAAACCTTTGTTTTTACATCGGTGTGTTGCCTCCTTGGTGGTGGATTTTTGGGGCTCCTCAAACTGGGCATAACAGGAACAGTAAGCCGCTCTGTGGCGATTGGGAAGGGTAAGTAGCCAGGCATGATCTTGAGACTGGTGAGTGTGCTGTTGCCTCTGACTATGAGGAGGAAATGCATAACCTACCTTGGCCATGACTTGGCCTTTGCAAAGAGCCAGAGAGAACTAGCTGTGTGTGGCAGATCATTAGCAATTGCACAGCAGCCATACTGCTGACACCACCAGCCTGTGGGCCATTAACAACCCCAGCCCATGAGCCTGCACTGAGCTTGCCTAGCTCCCTGGGAGAGAGTTTTAACTCAGGGGCCCTACTGCCTGCCTGGGAGCCTGCTTCACTGACCTTAGCTAGAAGAAAGTCAGCTTGTTCTTGGAAGGTCCTACGCTGAGTAGGCCTTTGGGAAAACCAAGACCACATCCCAGCTTCTAGTTTTCAGAGAGAGCCAAAAGTGCTCTGTTGCAGTGAGCTCTCCTAGAGTCGGTGAGTGCACAAGAGCTAGAAATTCCTCATGGACAAAGAAGCAGATGGTGTGGAGGGGTTTGTGTTGGCCTCTGAGACGCCGTACCTCTGACACATTAGTAGGCTGTGAATGTTGAAAGACAGACAGGTGTTTATACTCCCTTTGTTCACGTTCTCTCTTTCCTTACAGCGAAATGTTTCCTTTGTCTCTGATCTATTTTTCAGTTCTAATTATGAGTGATGTTTAGTTTTTCAGCAAGTCATAAAGAATATGTGTTTGACTGCCAGGCAGTGGTGGCACATGCCTTTAATCCCAGCACTCCCGAGGCTGAAACAGGCACATCTCTGTGAATTCAAGGTCAGCCAAAAGGGACCAGACCCTCACCCAGTCCCTTGCTTTGGCAGACTTGACAGGCTGCAGAAAAGACCCAACAAGATGTAGGCCTCTGGCTCAGCAACTTGTACAGTGCTTCCTGACCTTGCCCGACCTCCTAGTCAGTAGGATGTCAGATACCCTCCATGTGGCAAGGAACCAATCAGAAGTTAGCTAGCAGGCCCTGGATGTGCTTTATGGGCTCTGGGTGAGCATAGCAGCCGCCCTAGAAGGGCCTATAGGCCATAACAACCAGTTGACCAATCAACACAGAACAGGTCGTCCAAGCCCAGAAGCGTACCAATCCTGAGGCTGCTGCGGAACCCAGACACTCCCCTTGCTCTAATAAATTTCCTGCACCACGGTCCCTAGGGGTCCTTCTTTCTCCACCCACTGTGTCAAACAGACAGAGGAACCAAGTTAATACAGTTAACTCGTTAATTAATTAAAGACCCTTTGCTTTGGATCAGGTCTTGGTGATTTGGGGGTTCAGAATTTGGATACAATAAACCTTGTCTACAGTGTCAGTTCCAGGACAGCCAGAGCTGTTATACAGAGAAATCCTATCTCGAAACCACCCCCCCCCAAAAAGAATATATTTGACTGTGATTACTGGTACCTAGAGGAGTATAATAAATGTTAACTTTTTGGCATTCAGTTAAATTAGTGAGATGCTTTATACCACATAGACCAAGAATTAACGGAGTTAGGAGCCAGAGCTGGTTAATACCACACTGGATGTCATCTATTGAGTTTCTTTGGGATAATGCTTTTAAAAAGCAGTTTTGTTAAGGTATATAGCCTATTGGCCATAAAAGTCACCCATTTTAAGTATACAGTTCAATTATTATTTTGAGAAAATGTAAGAGTTGTGTAACTATTACCATAATCCAGTATTAAAATATTTCCATCCATATTGGTCAGTATCCTTTCTCTCTCATATATATAAACACATAAACATGTATGTGCATATGGATGCATAGATACAGATACAGATACAGTGTCCCGCCACCAAGAGACACTGGTGCAATGGTGACACAAAGCTATGGGAATAACCAGCCAATGTCTGATTGATTTAAGGCCACTCCATTAGATGGAACCCAAACCTGACACTGCTTGAGTGGCCAAGAACACGAGACCTAGGAGAAAACCAAACACTACTGTTCTACAAAAGGAGCACAGCAATAAAATTACTCCAAATGACATTCTATACTCATAGACCCTTGCCTTGCTCAGGTATCATCAGAGAGGCTTCTTCCTACAACAGAGAGGAACAAATATAGAGTCCCACAGTCAGACATCATGCAGACAGTGAGACCTTGGAAAACTCAGCCCTAAACAGAATGTCTTCATCAAGTCCCTTTCCTCAGGGGTCAGGGAACCTTTAGGAAGAGGAATCAGAAAGAGTGTAAAAGCCAGAGGGGATGGAGGACACCAAGGAAACAAGGTTTTCTAAACACAGAAGGACCTACACATATATGAATGTGAGAGACTGAGGCACCGTGGATAGTGCCTTCTCGGGTCTGCAGCAGATGAAGTCCTAGAGCTGAAAGAAGAGATGGACACATGGCCTTATCCTTAACCTAGAAGAGAGGGACTCATGGCCTTATCCTTAACCTAGAAGAGAGGGACACATGGCCTTATCCTTAACCTAGAAGAGATGGACTCATGGCCTTATCCTTAACCTGGAAGAGATGGACTCATGGCCTTATCCTTAACCTAGAAGAGATGGACTCATGGCCTTATCCTTAACCTAGAAGAGAGGGACTCATGGCCTTATCCTTAACCTAGAAGAGAGGGACACATGGCCTTATCTTTAACCTGGAAGAGATGGACTCATGGTCTTATCCTTAACCTGGAAGAGATGGACTCATGGCCTTATCCTTAACCTAGAAGAGATGGACTCATGGCCTTATCCTTAACCTAGAAGAGAGGGACTCATGGCCTTATCCTTAACCTAGAAGAGAGGGACACATGGCCTTATCTTTAACCTGGAAGAGATGGACTCATGGCCTTATCCTTAACCTAGAAGCTGTCTCCAATGGATAACCACTTGCAAATGAAAAATTAGTTTTCATCAAGGGACTCTCAGTGGGGAAACAAACTCCTCATAAGGGTAGACTTCATGCCCAGCAGTAGATGGCCAACAGAGTCTCATAATGTATCAGGGCCATTAAAACAAAACAAAATAAAAGCCAAAAACCCTGTATTATTATTATTTTATCCTATAGATTTTGTGTACAAAATCTGGCTTCCAGTTTTGTGTTTTCATGGGATTCCCGAATATGTGAATGAGTGGGTCTCTTCTTCTCTATCTGGGTTTTTGTACTTTTTCTTGGGCTTATTTCCTTCTGTTTGATTTTTTCTCTATTCTGATCTGGTTGTTTTGGTTTTATTTATTATAATTTTACCTTATTATTACTCCTTAGACGTCTGTTCATTTTCTAAGGAGACAGAAAGGGTGGGGATCTGGATTCAAGGGGAGGAGCAGAGGAGTGGAAGGAGGGGAAACTGTAAACAGAATACACTGTGGGAAAAAGTCTGCTTTCAGTAGAACTCCAATGTCACATAAATTTACCTTTGAGATAGCTTGCTTCTTTTTCACCTAAATGAGCACTTCTGCAGGGGACTGTCAGCATTTTGGAAAAGCTATGCTAGGGGCATGACACTGTTACCCTGGCTGTGGATAACAGCAGTGTCACCTCCCTGTCTCTTGCTCCTCTCCCCTTTCTAAGGGGGTAAGAATAAGAAAACCAGACTTAGTATGAAAATCTACAATGGTTTTCCAGTGTATTGAAGACACGTCGTCCCAAGAAAGGAAAATAGTAGCCATCAGGGTTAAAGTCTTGAACAACAGAGGCAGAGATGGGCTCCAGCTGGGCAGAGAGCAACCCTGGAGAAAGCAGATCCCACTCTGAGTTAGTAGAGCACCACACAGTTGAAGCCTGGCACCGAGACACCAGCTAGCCTCCGTGAAGAAGAAGAAACCACTGTGGTACAATGCAGCCAGCCGGGCCTCCAGAACCAACCCATACGGTAGCTGTCCCAAGTTCCTTTAAAAGTAGAGCCAATAAAATTGAGACTGAGACTGCCTCCTGGGGACTTCAAATGTCTGTGGCCACTGAAGCAAAAATGTCAGGTCAGACCACCCAAGGTTTCCAGAGTGGCATTCACTCCGATTCAGAGGCCAGATCCTCCAACAGAGCGGACCACACTGAAAATGGTGATGCTGAGAGTGAGGGCCTAGGCTGGTCCAGGAGGAAGGAGGCTGATCATGAGCATCCTTGGAAGCAGAGTCTCTCAGGGCAAGGCCTTGGGCATGTGACAGATGGAAAAGGGCACAGCCGCAGAGGACCGGTGGAAAGCAAGACAGCTTTGCAGTGTGACATTCTTTAATAAACGTCAGCGGGCAGTCACAGGAAACACCAAGGCAACTGCTATCAAACCTGTGAAGTACAGTTGAGACACTTCAAACATGTCAAGTGCTCTCCTGCTTCTGTGTCCTGAGGCTATTTCAGCTGTCTAGAATGTTCCTTTAAATGAGTATGGGTATTTTTTCTGCATGCATGCCTGTGTACCATGCACTCACAGGGCCCACAGAGGCCAGAAGAAGGCGTCAGATCCTCTGCGACTGTATTTACAAGTTGTGAACTGCTGTGTGGGTGCTGGGAATCAAACCCAGTCCCTCTGGAAAAGCAGTCTGTGTTCTTAACTCATGAACCATCTCTCTAGCCCTGGTATGTTCATTTTTGAACATACTAGGACCAACTTTATTCCTCCAGGATGAGTTAAAATCTATGCCATCCGAGGCCATGCCTAGTCAAAGTTCCTCCTTGGGTAGTCTAACATGGCGTACTATGTTCCACTTTGCAGGTGTTACATCCCTTTAAGTCTAAGACAGGTATCAACATCTCTAAAAGCAATCTCACGACCAGTAGCTCATCACAGTTTTGTTGGCCATAGTCTCGCTATGTAATGTGAAAACAACACTGGTGAGTCTCATAGTCAGTGGCATCTCTAGTCAGTAGGAACACACTGAGTGTTGCTTATCACTTGTCTACCCTATGACACTAAAGGCTTCTCTAAACCAGAGCCTTATGTGATTTACATTCCTACATGACATAGAATGTCTGACATGCTATTTGTGTTCAATAGTGAACAATAAAAAAAACTGAACTCATTAACTTAATAACAGGGCCATCAGCTCATGGGACTACTGGTCTGGGAGAGCCACATGCACCATATCTTGTTCTAAAGCACTGACTTTGAGCAGGTATTTGCACCTATGTAAAGACTACTATCTATATAAGCATAAATGACTAAAGCGGTTGTATTATATGTTTCTCTGGTAACAGGCAAGTATCAACAGAAAGCATTTTCAAAGCATCACCATGTGGTGTTTGGGATTTCTGATAAATCTCCTATCTAACAAACAAACAAACAAAAAACCCTCAGTCACACATTGTGACCATCTCTCCTGCTTAATACCATGGTTTATGCTGACCCCATATTTACACTCTCTAAATCTATTTTCATAGAGGAAGTAGATTTGGCCTTATGTATCCATTTGGTCTTGACTCAAATGGATAGAAAAAAATTAAGGGATTCAATCTTGGCTAAATTAAGTCGGTAATTAGTAAATAGTTCAGGATGCACAGTTAGAGACATAGCTGGATTGTGGTGCACAGTTTTGAAGTTTTCTCTGAATTAAGGGTTTTTTTCACAGCTGACACAAAGCTCTGAATAAATGTCATTATTATAAAGTCCTCGGTGTGAGAATGTAAGTACAAAATTATGCAAACTTGAGAAAAATGGGCCAACTTTCCTGTACTTTATTCTGAGGGTTTTTGAATACAATGGAGACCAAAATAAACTCACCTCGAGTTCAGGAGACACCTATCTCCTGGGTAACCTCAGAAAATGGGTCTGTGGAGTTGTAACTCAGTGATAAGGAACTTATTTAGCATGTACAAAGCCTTGTGCTCAATCCTGGGTGCCACAAAATGGATGGTTTCTAAAGTGGTTTAGAACAAAGCACAGTGGAATGGCTTCTGGTCTTGGGCAAGGTGTGCCACACCGCCCTGGACCTCGGTTCTGCTACTGCAGGTCTGATTTGTCAGTGTCCCCACTCCTGAATAAAGCCCTCCCCACCTCTCCTTCCATCCTCCTTTTCTGTACAGTTATAACACTTCATTCCAGTTTCTGTTGGGGCAGACACACAGAGTGCTTACATTTCTGTGTCCACCCCCAGAGCTGTGATGTTGGGGAACCAGAACTGCTTTCATTCATTGTCTAGCACACAGAAGGCGTCTCTGAGCGCTGCCTTGGCTTACTCTTCTGTGAGTCTCCCCTAAAGCATGCTTTGGTTTGCTTGCTTCTATTTGCCTATGTCGCTGGGCTGCACCAGGCTGAAGAGCAAACCCAGCACCTTGCACATGTCAGGCAAACACGCCATCTCTGAGTTGTACCCGTGACCTTTGTAAGGGTATTTTCTTCTTCTTTTTTTCTTTTTTAATGTACTAAAATTGCAGATTAGAAAAAAAATGACCCATCTTAAACCCTCTTGGGTGTTGCTGTTGTTGGATGGTGTGTGTGTGTGTGTGTGTGTGTGTGTGTGTGTGTGTGTGTGTGTTTTGTTTTGTTTTTGGCAGTGTGTCTTTACGTAGTCCTGACTCTCCTGGTACTCTGTGGTGGTTTGAAAGAAAATGGCCCCCAAAGGGAGTGGCACTATTAGGAGGTAGGCCTTGTTGGAGGAAGTGTGGTACTGTGTGGGCAGGCTTCGAGGTCTCTTTTGCTCAAGCTTCCCTCAGTGTCACTATCAGTTGACTTCCTGTTGCCTGCAAGATGTAGCACTCTTAGCTCCAGCACCATGGTCTGCCTGCACACAGCCAAGCTCCCCACCATGATGATAAAGAACTGAACCTCTGAAACAATAAGGGAGCCACCCTACTTAAACGTTTTCTTTGTAAGAATTGCTGTGGTCAGCAGGGACCGTTCATATATGGGTGGTCTGAGCTACCACCAGGGACAATGGTGTCATCTGGCCCAGGTTGCTGCTGAGGACCATGTCTGGTCTGTGACAAACATGTCTGGTCTGTGACAGACATACATGGCTCCAGTTACCACCAAGCACCATGAAGAAGCCCAAGGTCAAACCAGCAATCTGAGTCTAGGTTGGTGACCAAGGACCAGAATACATCCATATCTGAGTGGTCTGTGCTGCTATTCAATGACATGGTGATGTCTGGTCCTGAGCTGCAGTTGAGGGCCATGCCAGGGTCTCCGGTACCACTACAACCGGGTCTGTGCTGATGTCCAATGCTCCTGCTACCATAGAAGGCTGTGCAGACACCCAAGATCAAGGGCCAAGTTAGTTTGTCAGGGCCATACTGCCACTGGGGGCAGTGGTGACATCCAGACCCAGCTGCTGATTAGGACCATGTTGGGGTCCATGGTCATATGGCAGCTGGGGGTCTGACCTGAAGTCCAGGTCCTGTACTGTCACTAATGGTCACATAGAGGCCTTGGTGGTATCCGGCAACCACAGGGCTGTCGGAACCAATCCCACCTGAGTGACCATTCCCTCCACCCAGAGCCAGGATGTCATTCGAGCCTAAGCTGTGGCCAAGTGCTGTAACTGGGGTCTGTGTTGATGTCTATGGCCAGTGACTCCTTCAAAGGTCTTAGGAATCATTTGAGATGAAATCAGAGAACTATACAGAGTCAGTTCTGCCTTTAACTGCCCTGGGAAAGCTGACCTTGCCTCTCGCTGGCCACTATAGGGAGAGAGCTGACCTCTACACTGGGGAGAGAGGGCCCCCACCCTCACCACAGGCGAGGATGAACCTACCCTATGGGTGTGCATGTAGGGGAGCTGACTCCACTACCACACTCAAGGAAGGTGGCCCCAGTGGCTTGACCTGACCTGACGGCGAACACCCAGGCCCACAACTGGGCCTTGGGTTAATCCACTCTGGCATCTATTTCAACTAGGTCCTGCTGGAGCTCCTGAAGGGACTGGAGTTACGGAACGATACCCACAAGATCTCCAAGTCACAGGACACCCCAGAAGAGTTCCAGTGAAGATCCAGAGAGGATAGTGTACCAATGACCAGAGGCTTTAAACCAGGCCAGTGTCATTGCTGGTCAAGCTGATGGGACAAGGGGCATGCTATACGACACACCAAAGCCTCCAATGCCATCAGGATGGATGAAGAGGTGATGGAGAGAAGAAGCAGAGATTTTGCTGGTTCAGGTATGGTTTTTGGTTTTTTTGTTTTTGTTTTTGTTTTTTGTTTTGTTTTGTTTTGTTTGCTCTTTTTTGGTTTGTTGGGCTTTTTTCTTCGTTCTTGCTTTTGTTTGCTTGCTTACTTGGTTTTGTTTATTCATGGGGGAGGGGTTGTTACAACAGGGATGAGGAAGGAGTTTGGGGGAACTGGGAGGTGAACAGAATTGAGATGCATGATGTGAAACCCCCAAAGAATCAAAAAAGAAGTTAAAATAAAAAGAATTATTGTGGTCATGGTGTCTCTACACATCAATAAAAACACTAAATAAGACAACCCCTCTATACGAACCAAGCTGGCCTCAAATTCACAGAGCTCCTGCCTCTGCCCACACATGCTGGGTTAAAGGTGAGCACTACCACCACCACCGCCACACACCCCCCACCCCTCACCTCCCCACTCTCTACCACACACACACACACACACCACACACACACACACACCACACACACACCCCACATAATAAGACACTCTTAAGAAAGTTTGTGTTTTAGTGTATTTTCAGTCTCTAGGCACCTGGCCAGAAGCAGGATTTCAGGGTTCTAGGTACACAATGCCTGAGCTGTTATGTTGTCCAGTTAAGGTATTTCCTTGGGAAAGCAACGGAGTTGGATTATTTGGCATTGCTTAGCCACACCAGTTGGACTTTTTACTGCTTAGCCAGCTGCTTTACTGCTGCTCAGTCAAAGACCAAATTAATTCTGGAGTCACTTTTCATAGGATCTGAAATCTGAAAGTTCAGCCCTAACCGCCTCGCAGAATGGGTAGCTTTGTTCTTGACCTCATTAACAAAAGATTCTCCTTCCAGCTCACACCAACCTGGGGGAGGAAGTGAACCAGACAGCCTGCATGACGACAGAAAGGAAAGAGAGAACCCTTCCAAGGGACAATGCCTTTTCCTGTCTCTGGAAGCTCCTCCTATCCCCACACTGGTTTCTGCATCTGCTCCTTGACCGTGTCCCTTTTCACATCAAAGTGCCACTCCTCAGGCTTCACGAAGGGGGGCACAACCCGGCTGCTACAGGAAGGCCACTTCATCCCAAAGGAAAGAGGAAAGCCATGGGTTTGGCTTCTATAAAATGACATACCTCTTGCCTTGTTTCTCATTGTATGATTGCACTCCTAAGCAGTGTAGACTGGCCTCTAGCTTCTGTAAGCCAAGCATTTAAGTTCTACGTGTTATAGTTTAAGCTGAAAGCAATAAATAAACAAATAAATAACCAAAAAAGTCATTCTGTCTTCATTAATGATATTGAATGCCTCAATCAGGAAAACTTTGGGTAGATTATATGAATCTCTTTTTTAATTCAAAAACACATCAAAGCATATAAGCTGGACAGATACTTAAGGAAAAGAGGTCAAAATTCCAGGCATTCCAACACAGACTTGGCCACTGGGCCCCTTCTTGGGAGGTCTGGGTTGAAGCCAGTTTTGAACATATAAATGTAATTGGTGATGGTATAGCGTGAAAACGTTTCCAAAGCTGCCCTTTGTGTTGTCATCAAAAGCATGCATTCAGCACCAGCGTATGGCATGCCTGGCAGACATTTAAACAGGCATACCCCGCCATTCTGTGGCCTCTGATTTAAATAGTACCGACACTCCATCGGATAAATACGGCCTTGGGTGGGAGATATCTGACACTATTTTTTAATGTACTGTGGGTGGTAACCCAGGCAAAATTTTAGCTGGTAGGTTATGCGTAAAATACATAAGTATTGCATAGAACCCTTTGGAACAGTGGTTCTCAACCTTCCTAGTGCTCTGACCCTTCAATATAGTCCCTCATGTTGTGGTGACCCCCCAGCCAGAAAATTATTTCATTGCCACTTCATAACCGTAATTTCGCTATTATAAATCATAATGTAAATATCTGATATACAGGTTATGTGATATATGACCCAAGGGTTGAGAACCACTGCTTTGGAAGACTTTCCCATCTCGGGGTGAGAGGTGTTGATCAAAAAAGAACAGGTGTCAAAAAGTTAAAAAATATATACTGTTTTAAAGGTACTCATTCATTAATTCACTCACGTGTTTATGCAGAGTTTGCCCACTGCTTTTTAGACGCCCGGGTATGTAGCTCACATCCTGAAAGTCCATTCCTCTTGAAATTTAGACTCTGGGGAGTCTATAATGGCACACATGGAAGCAGCATGGGGGGAAGGGGTTTTCTGGCCTGGCACACTCCACTGTCCATTCAGAAGCAGCTGTAACCCTTACGAAGCTCAGATTTGGGAAAGAATGGCTAGAGGCTAAAAGACAAACTCGTTCACTCTGAATAACTTCAATACACATTTTCACACCCTTTCCTCCCTCACACTGTGATGGGCGTGGAGAAATTTCTTCTGGCAATTAGGAAAACAGCTCCTTGCTTGAAGTGAATACTTTAAGCCATATCTTAATATGAGGAATAGAATCGGTCACAAGAAACCAACTCATCGCAAGGCCAATGTGAACACGTGTAGTGGAGCCAGAGGGTGAGAGGAGAAAGGAAGAGAGAAAGAGGGGGAGGAGAGAGAGGAAGAAAGAGAGTGGGAGGGAGGGGACGGAGGGAGGGATAGAGGGAAGGACAGAGGGATAGAGGGAAGGATGGAGGGAGGGAGGGAGGGGAGATGGAGGACGGGAGGGAGACAGGTAGAAGAGACACCATTTCTCTCTGTTCCAGCCACTGCTGTCACAGAGAACCCTACCCTCTCTGTATGCACAAGCAGCAGCATTTTAAAACGTATCATACGGATTCTAAGCTAAAGCAGAAAGTCTCAGCTGATAGAATATGCAGAACACACAGCTCGTTGTGACAGGAGAGGACATGAAGTCAGGGTGGAAATCGTTCGCTATGATGCCTTTTAAATAGCACTGTCTTGTCAGCTTCACCTCATCTGGTCCTTAGAGCTTGCCAGGAAGGTGGCGACAACTGTCATTCCATAGATGAGGCAACTCTAGCTCAGTGTGTTAAAGTCACCTGTCTAGAGTTGTATAACTGGTAGGTAGGAAAGCCAGGAGCCAAGTCCAGGGTGCTGGGATCTTGCAACAGGGGTATTACCTCCCTCTGTGCTATGCTCAGAGCTCTAGAGATAGATGTTTTCTGTGTGAGACTCCTAGATGGTGGCAGGACAGTTGTCCCTCTGTGACGTGGGCCTGATCAGGCTCCTCTGTGAGGCAGCAGAGAATCACACCCTCATTTTCCACCGTAGCTGTCATACGGAGCTGCCACGGTGTGTGGTGATACCTTGTTTATACTCTAACAAATAAAGCTTGCCTGAAGACCAGAGGGCAGAGCTAGTTACTGGTTAACCAGAGACCTGGAGGTCTGTACAGACAGACAGGAAGTGATAAGGTGGGAGAAGAGAGGAGGTGATAATGCAGGAGGAGACAGAGCTCAGTCTCTTTTCGGCTGGGAAGCTGAAAGGGCAAAGGTGGCTGTGGTTTTGCTCCTTCTCTCTGGTCTCTGGGCTTTTTTTTATTAAGACTATTAGGACTCATGTTACAATAGTATATGTGACAAAATTGGTGCTACCTAGAGTAAGTCTATGGGAGAATACTCACTATATAAGCTTAAGACTGAGCTAAAACTAGGTATGTTTACATGTCTACATGTTTACATAAAACTGCAAAATAAGCCAGGTGATGATAGTTCATACCTTTAATCTCAGAACTTGTGAGGCAAAAGCAGGAGGATCTCTATGAGTTTGAGGTCAGCTTGGTCTACAGAGTGAGTTTCAGGACAGCCAGGGCTGTTATACAAAGAAACCTTGTCTCAAACAACAACAACAAAAACCCTGCAAAATAAAAACAAAACCATGTTTGCTGTTATGGCTCTGGTCTGAAACTATACTCTAGTTGACTATTTATCAGGTGATTTCCTTACACGTTTTCGATTTTTCCCACCCTGTCATATTTATCCACTCCCCATAGTCTCTGTACACCCAAGAAAGAAGAAGCAAGAAGTCGTCCCACCTGATTATGAATTATCATAGTAGCCCCTGGTATTTTGTTACAATACTTTTATTTTAAACCACTAACCTTAACTTTGTTTCCCCTGTCGTGCTAGTAACAATTTAAATTCAGATATCTTCTCGAGGAATTTTACTTTGTGTGGCATGCTGGAGAAATGAGTTGGTTTAGAGCCTTTAAAAAACTACTTACTGGGCCTTCCTATATAGTTCACTCTTTAAGCCAGAGTGCCCTCCAACACTGACCCTTCCTGCCTCAGCCTTCTGCATAGAGCATTTCCAGGTCTGCATGACGATACTGGACCCTGAGAAAACGTTCTGTCTTTTTTTGGTAGAGGTTATACTTCAGAAAAGTCTATTCATTTAGGACATACCACTGGAAATTTTCTCAAGTCGCCCTACCCAAGAGACCCAAACTCGGACAACAAGCTTGAGGTTTGGGCTCTGCCTAGCTGCATTTTGGAATTCTCTTCTGAGTTAGCCAATAAGCTCCAGATGGTCTAGACTGGCTTTCTGGGTGTGAGTTACCTGTCCACTGGGAACAGAAGGGGGCCACTAGTATAGGCCACCCACCACTGACAGATGGCACTGACTCTGGCCACTGACGGTGTCAGCCGAATCCAACTAAGCTTGGAAGAGAAAGAAACCACAGTGTCTCTGAACAATTCCCTTCATTCCACCCGATTCATTAAAGAGAAGAAGATGGGAAAAGTCAAGACTGCAAGGCCACATTAACATCTGGACAAGGGCTTCAGGGAATATTCGGGAAAACAAAGAAGAAAGAGCCCCCTAGGCCATCGTTACTCTCAGACTCTGCAGAGGGAATACAGTTGAATAGGGGTGGGTGTTTGGTTTGTGAAAAATAACCATCAAGGATTTTGATGATTGGTTATGCAAATTACACCAATCTGCATTCATCTAAAAAAGGAAAGATACCAGGTGCTTCTTATTTTTTTGTGTACTTAGAATAGTTAAAAAGCCCAAAATTATGAGATTTATTTTCAACATTATACATAGTATTAATGTACCAAACCCTGTTTGATTTTACAGTTCGTTGGGGTGCCCTACAAGGTGCTTCTTATAACCCACAGAAGTATTACTAAAGGATCGTGAGCATCTAATAAAATTGAATATTCTTTTTCATGACCAAAAGACAGTTAAAAAGACTTCTGGATCCTGGATTTAGATTCACTGGAATTAAATAATCGGGGTCTCAGCAGGCTTGGTTACTTCTTCTGTTGCTGAGACACAAAGCCTTGTAACTTGGGGAAGGGAGGGTTTGTTTTGACTCTCAGTTAGGGGTACCCTCCACTATGAAAAGGGGAGGACTCAAGGTAGCAACTGCTGGTATTTCACTCCCAGTCAGGAAGAAGAGAGCCATGATTGCTAGTTCTCAGTTCAACTCTCCTTTCTATTCAGGGACTAGGGAGCCATAATGCCCTCCTTGAGCGAGTCTTCCTGCCTCGAGTAAACTAACCAATGTCAGACATGCCCAGGGCTTACCTCTGGCCACTGCCTCGTGGGTGTGCCTGCAGGCTTGTCTCCTGGATGATTCTGGACCCTATCAAGATGACTGTGAGTATAAATCAACACGAGCACCATGGCTGTTGTGATCTCTGCCTGAGTTCCAGCACAGTGCAATAACAACCTCAACTTGGGTTTCCTTAAAGTTCACCCACAAAAAAAAAGGAAAATTCTTTAATTTTATTTTTAAGAATTCCCTGTCTTCCATTTGAAAACTACCTCTCAGGTTGGAATTAATCCCACAGGTTTAACAATATTGAACTTGGGTAAATATCTTAGCATCCCTCGGTCCTTCCCTCTCTATCCCCATTGCCCCCACTCTGCTCCACTATTCAGATGACTGACATCTTAGCTGCAGATGGGGGGTTCATGGGCAGCCGGAACAGGAGCAAGGACTCAGCCAGTTTCCCCTTCTAACTGACCCTTTGATCTAGAGCAAGTCATTTCACCTCTCTGAGCTCCAGTCTCCTTACCTTTAAGACAAGAATGATAACAGCATTTAATTCCAAAACTACTATGAGCGCTACATAAGTTTGTATATCAACGTGCTTAAAGAGATGCCCAGACATAGTAAGCTTTTGGTGATATAATAAACTCTTGGTGACGATAGCTCTTGTCATCATCTTATGACTCTCAGTGTCATAGAATCCTCACCACAATGTCCCTATGTGCTAGGTTGTAACGTCTTCTTTCCTTGGCATGATACTTGTAAGTACCTAGTACAAATTCTGGCTCAAAAA